TTGGCTTGAAGAAGCTCTTTAGTCTGATGAAGTCCCATTTGTTTATTCTTTCTATTGTTTCCCTTGTCTGAGAGGACGTGGTGTTTGAAAAGATCCTTTTAATACTGATGTTAAAGAGTGTACTGCCTACATTTTCTTCTAGAAGCCTTTTGGTTTTAGGTCTTACTTTTAGGTCTTTGATCCATTTAGAGTTTATTTTTGTGAATGGTGAAAAAGAATGGTCAATTTTCATTCTTTTACATGTGGCTTTCCAGTTTTTCCAGCACTATTTGGTGAAAAGACTTTCTTTTCTCCATCGTATGCCCTCAGCCCCTTTGTTGAAGATTAGCTGTCCATAGATGTGTGGTTTTGTTTCTGGGCTTTCAATTCTGTTCCATTGATCTGTGACCCTGTTTTACATATATTTTTAAAATTCAGGTTTTAGAAGTTTCGAAAGTTGTTTATCTATTAACTACAAGATCCATAGAATATTATTAAAATTTTGATGATATCAGTACAATATAAAGGTTTGTAGCAAAATACAACTTGTGACTTGTGAGTATAGAAGATGGAAATAAATTGTGACTGTATCTATTAAGTAGATACACATGAAATATTTTTGAATAAATATAGTTACTGTGCTATATTGTATATTTATGTTGTTTTGTATCATGGCATTCTCCTTTCCCACCTCATGTACCATACCCAGTGCTGCTGCGACAGACATCTTAACAAATATTTTTTCAAGAAATGAGTGAATCCAATCCACTAGCAGTTTACACTTTTTGAAGAATAAGTGGAAAAACTATGTCTTGATTAGATAAAATTTTGTTTTAATAGGCAAATTAATGAAAACTTCAAACTGATAGAAATAATTCATGATATCAGTTTTAAATTTCTGAAAAACATACAAGACTCAGGCACATCCAAGGATGCAAGGGGATGTTTTATTTGCTCTGATGGAGGTAGAATTAGCTACTAAAATGTGTTTTTTTCTCCCCTGTACACAGTCCAGATATAGTCCCAGCTTGACAGATTAAAAATACAACCTGAGAGTTATGATGTTAAACTAAAGAATTAAAGCTTTAACATTTAGCGTCATTTCTAGAATTAAATGGCCTATAGATATTACATTCAGCTTCTCTGATGCTTCATTAGCATCACTTATGAGCCAATATTTAAAATCGTTGGGTGAGATTGGCTCATTGATAATGCAGACCTACACGAGCAAGCAATGACAACTGCAGAGCAATTTTTCTGGGCTGGAAATGGGTAGAAAATGAGGACTAATAGAATCCTGAAGAAGAATGATCCATAGAGGAGAGGTAAATGGCGTGCACAGAGGTGGAATGTAGAATGAGTATTCTTCACTCTACCAAACTCTGGATACTCAGATAGTTGACAATTCAGCCTGGTAACAGGAAACAGCATATTAGGATTCAAGTAAAACCTCAATAATGAAAATGTAAAAAGAAAGTATTGCCAGCATTAAAAATATCTACAGGGGCCAGCCCGGTGGCGCAGTGGTTAAGTTCCCATGTTCCGCTTTGGCAGCCTGGGGTTTGCTGGTTAGGATCCTGGGTATGGACATGGCACTGCTTGGCAAACCATGCTGTGGTAGGCGTCCCACATATAAAATAGAGGAAGATGGGCATGGGTTAGCTCAGGGCCAATCTTCCTCAGCAAAAAGAGGAGGATTAGTAGCAGATGTTAGCTCAAGGCTAATCTTCCTCAAAAAAAAAAAAAAAAATAAGAAAAAAAATCTACAAAAAGCTCAAATGTTCATCTTTGTGTATATAATGAGGCAATATTTTCATATTAACTGATGAACCAACACAGAGGTTCTTGTTATCACAGTATCAGTTTGTAAGTCCCTGAAGTGACAATACTTTCTTAGGGATGTAAGAATTGCCATAATGCGCAAATATTCCCGAATGAACTGACCACTCATAGAATTAATTTCCCCTTGAACTGACCACTCATAGAATTAATTTCCCCTCCCTGTTCAACGCCACTGTCTTCACCCATTGTGCCAACATCTCACCTACTCACCGATTTTCTGATAGAGTAAGCATAACTCAAATTCAATGTGAAGTGACCTTAAGAAAGATCTTCATAAAGTGGAGGAAATGGTGTTGGAGAACAGCTTGAAGGAAATGTAAGGCCCCATTGACAAATAGGGCCTGGTGGAATTAGAACAATTAGAAAGTGAATAACAAATGAGAAAAATAACACAAATGCAATAGATACAAATTTGTACGACAAGGATTAGGACGGACCCTTCGGAAAATTGGTGGAGCTTTTAAATATTTTACGACATTGCTCTATTATTATTATTCATTCCTATTATTACTTGAATTCAAAAGTGAAGTAGAGGCTGTCTCCAGTTATCACATTTTATCCTTCTGGAAGGTAATACCAAAGGAAACACTTGGCGCTTGACTCATTCTTTGTAAAATTAGTACACGTTTGTGATTATAACTAAATTTTGGTTAAATATGAAATAAAAAATATATTTCCATAAGTTTTAGTTTAATTTGTCAAAATCAAGTCCTAAACAAATCTCTTTTTCTCCATTTACCATGAAATATTGTCAAGATTTTAAAGGATTAGTTTTATGAGATTTTCCTCCCTATAAGCTGCAACACTGAGGTGAAGGCTGACTGTAATTCTGTTTTGCCTGGTGGTCATTCCTGTCACTTCAGACAACAGCTTGTGCAGGTCAGATTTATTGCTTTAAGAGAGGGAGACGGAGCACAACAACGTCAATCTCACATTCTTTTTTCCCTAAACATACCTTTGAAGATCCAGACAGAGAGAATAGAGAAAGTCTCACCTTTGAGGAGCATTCTAAAGCCAAAATTTATTTCATAGAAGTAGATTTGGGAAACACTTATAGTGTTGTAAGAGCTAGGTATTGCCCTAGAAAGAAGGATTTAGTGAGTTGGGGGACAAGGAAAGTCAGCGGGAATAACTGGTATTGGCTGAGATGGGGCTCTGGGACTCACATTCTCAGGGAGTGTCCTGGGAATGAGATGGGAGACGGTCAAATGCCCATAGAAGTTTGGAGAGCTGTGGGCAAACGGGACCTTCGCGAGGGACCCAGGAAAGTTTTCAAAATCCTTCTTCATACTGGTACTGTGTATCATCAAAAGTGCAAAAATGGTGCCCTTCAACTTTTTCTTCAACTATGTGCTGGGATGTATCAGTTACCAAAATACCAGTTTTTCCATCTTCTTAAGTATCCTAGTGAAGGATGTTAAGAGAATTTACTCAGAAATTATCAGAGAAAGAGCAAGAGACACTGAACCAGCCGACTTTAAGCCTTGTGGACTTGAAAGGTATATGTTTTAGCTCAAAACAAGCTTCCGTGTCTAGCCTGGGGGTTAGACACAAATGCAGAAACCAAACTGATGGTGGCAGAGAGAGATAAGCAGAGGATCAGGGAGGATCCAGCATCTCAGAGGACCGCAGCATGGACAGAGCTCCTGGGGAACGTGACAGCTGCCTTTAGTGCCATGATGGCAGGGAAGTACCTACACATTTAGATGCAACCAAGGGAGGATGGAGGTGGGTGCGCGTATCCTAAATTGATGGGGTTTAAATCTGAAACAACCAAGGAAATTTTGAAATGTCTCCATTTCAAATCTTGAAATGTCTGATGATATGGAATGAGCTAGATTAGATTTTTCGGAGGTTACAAATAGAAACTAAGGGGTTATAATTTTGTGAGTTAGGGAATTGGAAATACTGTACCTGCATTCCCACCGCTTTTTCTAAATAGACCCAACATGCTGATTTTCCATGTGAAGGCAGCCTCGGATGGTTGGCTGGTTGGTATCATAGCTGCAACCTGACAATGGCCTTCTGGGAATTTAGATGTGACCTCAGAGCAGCAACAGGAGACGTGTGGGGGGAATTTTTCTTTTACACGATATGAATCCTCCGTAATCCACATGGCAAAGTTCTATTATTTAAGAAGATGGAGAAATTGGTATTTTTGTGACTGGTGTATCCTAGCACCTAGAGCAGCGCTTCCATGTTGCAAGCTCTCAATAAATCTGTGTTGAATGAGTAACTGGAAAGTACTTCTTTCATTATGTCACAGTAAGATCATTCAATTCTACCTACATTCCACAACTTCAGGTTTTGCAATGATGAAAAGAAACAAAATAAGGAATTATTTTAGATAAGCCCAGCCACAGCTCAACAATCATTCCTTTCTTCATGTCTGTATGTGCTGTAGTAGTGTCCCCACTGTTGAACTCCTTCCTCGCCTCTCGGGAAAGGACGTAGAGGAGTGCAGCCCAGCTCACAGACCATGAAGGCTCTTCAAGTCCTACATGAGGTTGACTGTCTGCCTGGAACTTTATGCTATGGCATCTTTATGCGTATATATATATGCGTACATGGGAGTAAATAAACCTCTATGAAGATAACTACTTTTGAAAATTGACATTCCGTGTTTAATTATTCAACTCCTTAGGAATTTCAACTTGGAAACATAATATGCACTTTTATTTGACACCTTCATTTCTTCACTATCTCTGTCCTAACTACAATAATGTCCCCCCAAATCCTATTAAAACTCCTTCCTCAAAATTCACTTGCTTGATCTTTGTTGCTCGTGGTTCTCAGTGATTTCATTGCCTGAAAGGTCAAACTCCCTTAAGCTCTGATAGCTTAGCTGGAGTGCTCATGATCCAAGCCATTGAAGTGGGCTGGCCAGAAGCGTCTGACAGGATTCTCCTTTGTATCTGTAGCTGCTGCTTTTGTTGTTTTTCTTTTGGGTGCTGATCCCTAATGCTGACACAGTCCATGAGCTTGGCGACATACTAAGTTGTTTCTTGAATGAATTGCAAGTTTGGTTTTGACTTTGTTATTTCAAGTTAAGATTTAGCACAGTTTTCTCCTTCCTGTATATTTTCTACCTTATGTATTGCTGCTTTAATTGTATTATGTTTTAATATGTTACATATAATTTGTGCATTTTCTCTGTGTAATTTCTCTAGGAAGTTTTTTCTACATTTAAATCCTTAAGCTACAGTAGATGTCATTTGTTTCAAACTTTCTTGAGATTTGTTTTTCTTCAGAATTTTTCTCAAGAGAGTTATTACTTCCTTATTTCGCAGGCTGTAAATAAAAGGATTTAGTAAGGGAACTACTATCGTAAACAGAATAGAAGCTGGTATATCTTTATCTCCTTCTTCAAGCAAATTTGGTCTAATGTACATGAAAAAAATAGATCCATAGAATAATGAAACAGACAAAAAATGGGATGCACAAGTAGAAAAGGCTTTGACCCTACCCTCTTTGGATTTCATTTTTAAAATAGTAAAGAGAATGTAGAGATAAGATATTAAGACACTGCCTATGGTGAAGACTTGAATTGAACCTGAAAAGATAAATAGTGCCACTTCATTGATATAAGGGTCAACACAGGAGAGTCTGTATAAAGGAAGAATATCACAATAAAAGTGATTGATTTGATGAGACCCACAGAAAGTTAACCTAAACAGAAGCCCTGTATGGATCAGGGAATGCAGGTTTCCAGCGACGAAGGCCCCTGTGGTCATCTGAATGCAGAGTTTCTTCGACATCATGGTGTGGTACTGCAGTGGGCTACATATGGCCACATAGCGATCATAGGCCATTGCTGCCAGGAGAAAGCAATCTGCAGTTTCAACAGTGCAAAGAAAATAAAATTGTGTCATGCATTCATAGAGGGAAATCATTGTGTTCGCAGAAAAGAAGTTCCCTAACATCTTAGGAGTAATGGCACAGGCACAGCAAGAATCCACAAGAGCCAGGTTGCCCAGAAAGATGTACATTGGCGTGTGAAGATGATGCTCTTTTGAAATCAATATCACCAGACCAAGATTCCCCATCATGGTGATCAGATAGATGGCCAAGAACACCATAAACAGAAGGGTCTTCAGCTCTGGGTCATCTGTAAATCCTGTGAGGATAAACTCATTTTTCATAGTAAGATTTTCTTCAGCCATTCTTGACTTCTCTGTTGAGAAAAGAATTATGGAGAAATGAGATACTAATTATAATATGCCCAATTCAACTACTGAGCTCTCTCTGGACTGGAAGGATGAGAAGCATCTTCCATAATGCTTTCACAAGTTATGCAGGTTTTGACGCACACTCAGTTCTGGGGGAGTACCAATATCCTGAAGCTATTGCCTTTTTAGTTACTCATTTAACATTTTCCCAGCATATTTTCAAGGACAACATCAGATTAGATGCATGAAAATGGCTTTTGAGGTCTCAAGAGGAATATTCAGTGCAAAAAACTTCTCTATATGGGTTAGGTAAGGCGGATTCACAATTTAAGTGTCAGCAATTGGTATCAGTGTTCCCAAACAATTTCAGTGACTGCCTATGTGCTGGTTAACAATGATGCTAAAAAGAGTATTTTCATACATCCACATTCATAGCAACATTATTCACAATAGCCAAAGATGGAAACAACCAGAATATCCATTGATGGGTAAATGAATGAACAAAATGTGGTATATACATTTAGTGGGCTATTATTCAGCCTTAAATGGGAAAGAAATTCTGACACGAGTTTGAACATGAATGCACCTTGAAGACATTACGCTAAGTGAAATAAACTAGACACTGAAGGACAAATATTGTATGATTTCACTTACAGGAATTAAAGTAGTCAAATTCATAGAGACAGAAAGTAGAATGGTGGTTGTCAGGGTGAGGGAGGGAATGGGGAGATTATGTTTAATAGGTTCGGAGTTTCAGTTTGGGAAGGTGAAAAAGAGATGGATGGTGATGATGGCTGCGCAACAATATAAATGTACTTAATGCCACTAAACTTACACTTAAATATGGTTGAAATGGCAGATTTTATGTTGTGTATATTTTACCACCATAAATTTGTTTAAAAAGACTATTTTCATTTGCATAGTCTTAGCAATTTACTATCTTGAATGCAAGTGGAGTATACATTTAAAAATAAAATGCTTTGGGGAAAAAAGAGGGCTATTTACAAGGTGTTTATACCCCTGGGGATTGGTGAGAGGAAGTGATGTGGATGGAAGCAGTAAGCGGAGAGAGAAAGGAGGGGAAAGGGAAAAAAAGCTATATTAAAAACCTTCCAGGTCATTTATAATAGCATTTATGTGTGCAATAAATACCATTCATGTGTGCATGTGCTTCAAGAAATTTAGATGTTATCAAAGACATTGGATAAATCCTAAGAGTTAAAATTTGATAAATTCAATTATATAACTATATGTCAAAGACATCATGAGTAAAATCAAATGTCAAATGTGAACTGAGAAATTATAACAATAAATATGATGTTTCTACAGTTTTATTCTGTAAAGAGCTTATACAAATTAGTAGGAATATCACTAGAAAATACATAAAGGACAGGAACAGAAAAATCTCAAAGGCAATACAATTTTTGGCAAATTAAAAATCTTTGCTAAGATATTCATTTTAGACTTCATTACTAACCAGAGACATCATTTGAAACAATTGAGGGCATATTTATTGTGCCTATCAAAATAGCAAGATTTTTTTTAAGAAAAAGAAATGATAAGTTATAGTGTTGTCTAAAATAGAGTGAAATGGAAACCTAACTGCACTCCCAGTAGAAGTATAAATTGGTGTAATCATTGGAAAATAATTAGGTATTAGAGTAAGGATACTCTTAAATGTTCATCCACTGTGACCAGTAACCATTAATCCAGCGGAAAGAAATAATAGAACCTCAAAGATGTACATATAATGATGTCCATTGCAATGTTATTTATAAGAATCAAAAATTCAAAACATCTATATGGTAAACATTTGGTCAGTATAATTAAGTAAATGTGAATCGTCCATATGATGGTATATTGTACAATCATGAAAAATGGTGTTTACTTAGAATATTTAACGTAATGATAAAAATAGACATAATAAAACGCTACGTGAAAAATAAAAATATAAAGTTGTATAGACAGAATAATCCTAATTTTCCAGATAAATATTTACACATGAACGTAAGGGAAAGGCAGCACAGAAACACATCAAAATGTTACTACTAGTTTTCTCTATGCAATGGAAATTATAGGTCACTTTTTCTCCTTTATATTTTCCTCTATTTCAAATTCTCTACAATGAGTATTACTTTTATAATCAAAAAACAAATTTTTTTTTTTTTTTTAGAAGATTAGCCCTGAGCTAACAGCTGCCACCAATCCTCCTCTTTTTGCTGAGGAAGCCTGGCCCTGAGCTAACATCCATGCCCATCTTTCTCTACTTTTTTTTATATGTGGGATGCCTACCACAGCATGGCTTGCCAAGCGGTGCCATGTCCGCACCCGGGATCCGAACCGGCAAACCCCAGGCCACCGAGAAGCAGAACGTGCACACTTAACTGCTGCGCCACCGGGCCGGCCCCCCAAAAACAAATATTTAATTAAATAAATCAAATGACATGCTCTTACATCTGCTATGCTTTATAACTTGATTACCCCACAGTAACCATTGGGGATCCAAGTAATGTTTTCTGCACTCTGCGATTCTTTAGCGGAGAACATCACAGTGGATGTAGTGAGGAGGTATCTGCTTCATCCTAGTGATAACGGCGTTCACAGTTATAAGTAATAATAGTTTGCTGACAATCTTGAATGTATCGGAAACCATTCGGGAACATATTCACATCTGGTGGTAATGCAGTCTTAAGGCACCCGCTTCTATGTAAAGCAAGAACTCTTTGGTGTCAAGTTTTACTCTTTTGAGCATCAAGTGTTTCCACAATGTTCTGAGATTCTATGATGCTCACATTTATTAAACCTTCAGTATATTTTTAAAACTTCAATTATCTATCCCTTAGACATTTCCTTATAGGCAAAGAGTTCTAATCTTTTGAGCTATGTTTTATTTCAATCTATATTTGTTTATTTTAATTAATTCTAGAATCACTTATTCATTGACCTGGCATTTATTAAATGTCTGCTCTGTGCTATTTACTTTCTTAGAAGATGAGTTGACCTTCCTCGGCATTTCCGCATTGATGGTTTTCTGGATATTCATTGACCATAACTACACTCTATATTCCAGGAACAGAGGAAAAGCATCGTGGAGAGATGTAGGAAAAGATCTCTTCCCTTTTGGCTTCCTGAAAATATTACTAACTTTTAAATCTCAGACTATTTGGGACTGATCCCTTTAGGAACAAAATTAAAAAATGAACATTTGAACTCTATATAATTTGAATCATTTTTTCATTAAATGCCTTACTCTTGGCAACCTGAAGTCTAAAAAAATGAACATTTTAAATCTATATAAGAGTAATTTGAATAACATTTTTCATTAAATGCTTTATACTTGCCAGCTCGAGGTCATATAACATAGCAGGATTTCTTTCAGTTTTCCCAGTTGGTTAAAATTTATCAGACAGAAATGTTTTATGTTATTTTATTTCTCTAAGAATCAAAAGAGAAACTAGAAACCTCTCTCAAATTACACCAGGGGTTTAAAAGAATCACTTGAAATTATATTCCTTCCTCAAATGATTTATTTAAAACATAGGAAATGTCCAAAACAAAAATTCTAAACACTGTTTCATTGTAGAGGCTAGTAATCCATTCCATCTGTTAAATTGTAAGTTATATGGCAAACCACATTATTCAAATCAGTTTCAAAAACTTTGCTGATGCTTTCTGTTATTACACCAAAAGTGTGCCTTATTTATTTTTGATAAATTTAGGCTTCTGTTGAATTTAGAAGCGATACAAATGAATTATAGTCATTTGTCTACTTCTTACACAGTAGACTGCATGTTAAAGGAAAGATTTAAGGAACTTAAAATATGGAAAAATAAGAATTGTAAAGAAAAACCCATGAAGAATTTAAAGAAATTAATGTTTCTGGAGGTTAATATTTCTAGTAAAAAGAACGTTTTAAATACTTTCTCACCTGGGTTTCCCTGATAAGAGTTTTATAAAGGCTAGTTGGTTAGGAAAGTAGATCCAGAAATAAACTCTATCTTCTTGATTATTTAGGAGAACATTTCTACCAACGGGTCAATGATGATATTTATGTCATTGGTAGAGCATGGTTCAAATATTTTCAATAATTCTAAGGGGATTTGCTTGGCATTGACATCATAGTGCAGCCTGAGAGACCTAATCTGAAAATTAGAAACACACTAAATTGGAAGAATTCAATGTGTCCTTTGAGACCTACAGAGTAAGGCAAATGCCCATTTCCAAACAAATTTTAAGAGCCATGTTCTGATTTTAATTCATTTGAGTTTATACTATTTATCCTTACCATCAATCTGAATATGAAATCCTACGTAGGAATTAAAAATTCCCACTGGCCTGATCAGCAAAGGCTGCATAGAGGAAGTGGGAGCTGAGCTAGGATCTGTTGTCTCAGAGAAGTCGTGGTGTGAGCAGAGGGTGTAAAGTAGCACTTTCCCCCTTCTTTTTAAAATCAATATGCAATTTCTAGAATCTTCCTTTGAAATTATATTTACAATATGTTTAATCTTATATCTTAGTTATTCGAATAAACTTTAATTTTTTCTTACAAATTCAGAAGCACCTTCTCAAAAGTCTCCTTTCTTCAAAATACTCCCTTCTTTAGGAGTCCCATCGCTTATAGTGTAATGAATCCCTATTGTCCATCAATCTCAAGTCTCAGTTTGTTTGGTTAATTACTTATCTTGGTTGTCCTAACTCTTCATCGTTTGAGCTCACTGTGTCTCCTTACATTCTGCACTCCCCATGTACCATCCTTAAGCCAAGCCCTTCTCTTTATGGTTCTCTGAACAAGCCACTTTCACTCTTCCTTTTGCCTTATCTGTGTTACTTTCATCATTTCCCTCCATCTACCCAAGTCCTACCCTTCCCTTAGTACTCAGACCCAGGTCTACCTAACTTCCCTAGGACAAATTCATCTGTCTTCTTCCCAGCCTCCCAAGCTCTTGTTACCCATGTGACAACACTTCCCAAGTCTCAGTATTTGCCTTGTGTGGTCCTCCAGCATTTCATAGGTTAACTTGACTACGAGCTCACTGATATCAGGATCGTGCATATTTCTGAGAAGTATCCTAAGAATATAACAAAGAATAAAGCAGAAAAAAATCCCTCTCCTGGGAACTTAAATTCTAGAGCAAAGGGATTATTTCAGGAGAGGACCACGCATCTGTGATGACAGAGGACCAAGGCTGTGCTGATGTGGCACCATGGGGAGACTTCCTCCTACAATGAGAGCTTGTTAAGATCTGTTGGGAAAAGGCTCTACCAAAGGACGTGTGGAAAGATGGTGAATGTTCCTCCTAGCTCACTCCTGCACTTTTACCACGGAGCAATGTGCGGTCAGGGAAGAATTCACAGTCAGGGAGAAGGAGCACGTAACTCATTTCTTGTTATTCTAATTTTCTTACAAATTTATGAAAATTTTTACACTTACTTAAAAATTTTGAAAAGTCCTTATGTTAGCAGC